GACTGTCTCGGGTGGCGAGCCTGGAAAAAACAGCCTGATCGTGCTTGATCGTCTCGTCCCCCCTCCTGCTCTGCTTGCCCTGTTGCCTTGGCGCCCACCCTGCAAGGGCTGGGATGGTCTGGCTTCCTTTGCACCCGAAGCCGCGCACTGTTTGCCGCTATCGGGTATGGGTTCTCATCGATAGTCGTCCTTTCATTGCCATCGGTCAGGTGGTAAAGCCTGTCGTCATCATCATCACCCCCATAGTCGTCGTCGCCTGCATCACCACTCATCATCATCGCCATCATCATCACCACCAAGACTACACTCACCACAACCATTGTCACCATCGCCACCAGCATCGTCGTCGCGCCCGCCATCAACACCGACATTGCCACCATCATCAACGCAACCATGAACAACGTCGAGGTCATCATCACCACCATCACCATTGTTGACAACGTTCCCACCATCGGCATCATCCTCATCGTGCTCACCATCGTCATCGTCGCCCTCGTCATCATTTGTTTCCCCACGGCGATCGTGGGCCGAACATGCACGATCGCGGGGGTGAGGTGCTGCCCAGGCGAGCGGCGAGCCGGGGCCACCTCGGGCCATGGCCACCCCTGGTCTCGTGGTATTCTCGGGTGGCCTTGCCCGTCCTTTCCGAGCCGCCGTCCGCGTCGAGTCCACGTCAAACGTCGAACCCGCGCTGAGTCCGCGTCACATTCGCTTCGAATCAGCGGCGAAGCGTTGTCGGATATCAGGGACGCCGATCATGTCCCCGAAATTTGCAGCGCCATTGGACGCTCAGCGCCGCCGGTTCTGGCCCACCACGCTTCGGCGCGACTAACCACGACCCGGTCGCCTGGCCTCCCATTGCGAAGCAACACGCTGTTCGCTTGCAGGGCATAGCGTGTCGCCAGGGTCGCCGCCGCCACACGCCAAGCAAAAAGTTCCGGACTTTATTTCCTTCTTCTAGGCTGCCCGATGGGGGCCGCGAGTGTCGATGACCATGAGGCGGCCCGCTCGCGAAAGACGGGCGTAGCCCCAGCAGTGCCCGAAGCATGCCCTCTCCTCGGGCCGCGCACCTCCCCAGGTGCCCCCGAACGGCGCCGTGGAGGAGGTCGCGGCGCGCGGGCTTGCGCGGGCGCTGGCCCCCGAGGGAGGCCATGGTCGATATCCTCGTCATCGCCGTCATCCTGTTATGACTTTTCTTAGTCTTCATCGCCTTCTTCGTCGTTGTCAGCGTCGTCGTCGTCGTCCTCCTCGTCGTCCTCGTCGTCGTCGTCGTCGTCGTCGTCGTCGTCGTCGTCGTCGTCGTCGTCATCGTTGTCGTCGTCGTCGTCGTTGTCGTCGTCGTCATCGTTGTGTTCGTGGTCGTGGTCGTGGCCGTGCTCTGTGGCGGAGGAGGAGGAGGAGGAGGAGGAGGAGGAGGAGGGGGAGGGAGGAGGTAGGAGTCGCGATGGAGGGGGAGAAAGAATGAACTGGAGGAGGAGGCGCAGGAGCGGGGGACGTAGGAGGAAGAGGGAAGAGGAGGAGGAGGAGGAGGAGGAGGAGGAGGGAGGAGGAGGAGGAGGAGGAGGAGGAGGCGGGGGGACAAGGGGAACAGGAGGCGGAGCAGGAGGAGGAGGAGGAGGAGGAGGAGGAGGAGGAGGAGGAGGAGGAGGAGGAGGAGGAGGAGGAGGAGGAGGAGGAGGAGGGAGGAGGGATGAGGTGAGGAGGAGGAGAAGGAGGAGGAGAGGAGGAGGGAGGAGGGAGGAGGAGGAGGAGGAGGAGGAGGAGGAGGAGGAGGGAGGAGGAGAGGAGGGAGGGGAGGCAGGGAGGGAGGGAGGGAGGGAGGGAGGGAAGGGAGGGGGAGGGAGGGAGGGGAGGGAGTACGAGGAGGAGGAGGAGGAGGAGGAGGAGGAGGAGGAGGAAGAGTAGGAGGAGCAAGAGGAGGAGGACAAGGAGGAGGAGGAGGAGAAGGAGGAGCGATACGGAGGAGGAGGAGGAGGAGGAGGAGGAGGAGGAGGAGGAGGAGGAGGAGCAGGAGCAGGAGCAGGAGCAGGAGGAGGAGAAGGGAAGGCGGGAGGGATGGCGGGTGGAGGAGGAGGGGTGATGGGGATGAGGAGGAAGAGGCAGAGGAAGCACATGATAAGGGTTGTACAAACACTTGCCTGCGAACAGCGTGTGGAGGGTGATGCTCATGGCCCGCATTGAGCTTCAGGGAAATGTCGGTCCTTGCGATGGTGACGACGTCGCTGGCGAAGATGGTGACCACGACGCCGGAGGGTGCTTCCCACAGCGATTGTCGCGGTGCGACGCCCGGAGATGAACGCGACGATGGCGATGGCGACGGGGCTGCGGCGGGGTGACGATAGCAAGGATGCTGACAGCGAGGCCGTCGACGATCTGGAATCTCCTCGTGGGCCTCTCTTCGGCCACAGCAGGCGATGCGGTGACCGTGGACGTCCTCCCTGACCTCGCGGCCGCCTGCGCGTGTGCTCGGAGCGAGGACCTCTGCGCGATGCTGCAGCGGGCCCCGCGCTCAGCCGCGGCGGGCCCCTCGAGACCGCAGAATACGCAAGCGCACGCAGCAGGCAGGTGCTGCGTTGACGCAGCGGCGACCCCAGCGCGGGTGTTCAAAGGTGAACGACTCCTGTGGCCCAGAATGGGCCGTTCTCGAATGATCCGCGCTGCTGGGAGGCTGCGATCGTTCAAGGTCGAACGATCCACGCGGCGGTGTTAGAAGAAACGCCGACGTCGCCACGGCACGAACCTGCAGTGGACGACTCGACGGCTTGACCTGCCAGGACTGGCATACTGTTCTCAGCGAGGGAGGTCGGAGGGATGCGATGCCTGAGGGCCAGTTCCGCCAGCTCCTCCTCCGCCTCATCCTCCCGGCCACCTGCTACCGTTTACTGCGGGCCCGACCGCGTTCCACTGTTCCTTCCCTCTCCTCCTCCTTTCGACGTCCTCTTCCCGCTTCCCTACCTCCTCCGCTCCTCTCTCCTCCTCAGCCGCCCCGCTACTCGTTCTCTTACTGCTGACGCTGACGCTGGTGGCGAGCTTGTCTGGCGACTGATGTCATTGACCTCCTGCTCCTCTTCCTCCTTGTCCTCTTCCTTCTTCTCCTCCTCCTCCTCCTCCTCCTCCTCCTCCTCCTCCCTCCTCCTCCTCTCTCCTCCCCTTCCTCCTCCTCCTCCTCCTCATCCCTTCCTCCTCTGTCTGCTCCCCCCTCTTCCTGTAGCCACCCCTCTTTTTCTCCTCCGCTCCGTCTCCTCCCAACTCCCTCACCCCCGTCCTCCTTCTCCTCTTCCTCCCCCCTCCGCGCCGCAGCTCCCTGGGCCCCAGGCCAGGCTCGGAGGTGAACTGCGTCATGCCCCCTCCCCTCTTCGTCCTCTCGCTCTTCCCTCCTCCCCTCGTGCCTCACTCCCTCCCCCCCCGCCCCGCCTTCTCCGCTTCCCTCCCGTCCCGCTGTTCCTCCTTCCCTCTTTGCGCCCCTCTCCGCCCATGCCATGTCCCCCCCCCCCTCCTCTCTGTCAAGCCGAGCCCCCGACCGCCGCGTGCAGGAGGTGCCTGGCTGTGGCAGGGTGGGGCTGAGGGCTCTGACCCACCGCTTGGGCTTCCAACCCATAGGAGGCACAGAGACCACCGCCACCGAGAACTCTTCGTCGGAGGCCGACCCCTGGGCGGTGGCATGCCCGAGCGTCAGACATGACCAGACGACGCTCAGGCGTACCACCGCCCAGGGGCCGGTCCGCCCCCGGTGGGCTCTCCATGGCGGCGGTTTTCGTTCCTCCTCAAAGCAATGCATGCGATCCCAAATGGGGAGTCTGAGTTCAGAGGCTTTTCGGTATCTTTCCCTCGCTGACCCATATCCAAGGGTGTTTTTTTTCTTAGTTCACCATGTTCTAAGACGGGGTCCTTGCTATTCCCCATATCCGAAGGATGTAGTCCTTGTCATTACTCCGACCGCGCCGACTCCTCCGACTCACTCCTCCTCCTCCTCCTCCTCCTCCTCCTCCTCCTCCTCCTCCTCTTCCTCGTCCCTCCTCCTCCTCCTCCTCCTCCTCCTTCTCACCCAGAGTCGCACTCAGGGTCACACCCAGGGTCGCTGCTGAGGTTATGATGTTGATGATACTGATGATGATGATGACGATGATGATGACGATGATGATGCTGGTGCTGGTGATGATGATGACTATGCTGATGACGATGGCGATTGTGATCATGATGATGCTGCTAATGATGAGGTTGATGAGGATGTTGATTATGATGCTGATGCTGCTGATGATGCTGCTGCTGCTGATGATAATGATGCTGATGATGATGGTGACGAAAAGAATGATGCTGCCGATGTCCATGATACTGCTGCTGATGATGTGGATGATGATGGTGATGAATTTATGGATGACAATACTGGTGTTGATGCTGCTGATGCTGACGCTGATGGTGCTAATGATGACGATGATAACAAAGATGAAGGTGAGGATGGTGATGATGACGAGGATGACGATGATGACGATGATGATGACGACGATGGCGATGCTGGTGCTGATGACGACGATGATGATGCTGATGATTATGCTGATTGTGATGCGGATGATGCGGATGACGATGCTGATGAAGATGATGATGACGATGCTGATGCTGATGCTGATGCTGATTCTTATGGTGGTGATGAGGATACGGATGATGATGATGATGATGATGATGATGATGATGATGATGATGATGATGATGATGATGCTATTGATGCTGATGCTAATGCTGATGCTGATGCTGATGATGAGCCTGATGCCGGTGCTCATGATGATGCTCATGATGATGATGGTGATGACGATGGTGGTGCTGGTGCTGGTGATGGTGATGATGATGCTGCTGCTGATGATGATGATGCTGCTGCTGATGATGATGATGATGGTGATGATGGTGATGATGGCGGAGCAGATTTTGAGGACATCTCGGGCGAGGCGCTGGTTTCGGCACTGCCACGGGGGAGCCGCCAGGGGCTATCTCACTCCTCCGTTCACGCCCAGATTGCGGGGATCCCTCGAGCGGTTTGCCTGTTTGCTGCCGCAACATCCTCCACTTTCGGAGCAGAATTTGGGGCTGCCTCGAGCGAGGCGCTGGTTGTCGCACACCCAAAGGGGAGCGGCAGGGGGTATCTCATTTTTCCGTTCGCGCCCAGATTGCGGGGACGTCTCGAGTGGTGTGCCCTTTTGTTGTTTCAGCACTCTCCGCTTTCGGAAAAGATGTTGAGGATGTCTCGAGCGAGGCGCTGGTTTTCCTGGGGGTCCAGATTGCGAGGATGTCTCGAGTTTGCTTGCTTTGCTCTCCAGACTCGTGGGCACGGATCCTCTCCAGGATGCCACGGGAGGCTCCACCAAGCTCCAGGAGGCCCCAGGAGGCCCCAGGAGGCTTCAGGAGGCCAGAGGAAGGCGCTAGAGCCCCCAGGATGCCTCAAGAGGCTTCAGGAGGCCCCAGGAACTCCCAACGGGCCTCCGGAGGCTTCAGGCCACAGGACGTTCAGGGGGGCACAGGAGGCCCCAGGAGATCCCAAGAGGCTCCAGGAGGCCCCAGGAAGCAACAGGAGGCCCCAGGAGGCCCCAGGAGGCCACAGGAGGCCACAAGAAGCGCCAGGAGGCAGAAGGAGGCCCCGGAAGTCCCCAGGAGACACCAAAAGGCCCCAGGAGGAGGGGGCATCAGAAGGCCACAGGAGTGTCCCAAATTCCGGTTTTGTACGCATGCTCCTATATATTGGGCCTCCCCTGGAGCAAGAATGCTTAGTGCTTGACGTGTGTTTCTGTCGTTTGTCCTTCTCCTGTGCATCCAATCCTAAGTGTTTTACATTGATTCCTATAGATTGTGCCTACCCTGGGGCACGAAGCCTTGGTGTTTTTCGCGTGTTCATCTTGCTATGTTATATGTTTCTTTTGTTGTTATTCTCTCTCTCTCTATATATATCTTATGATAATGTAAGTATATACGTACATATATGTTTGTGTATATATATATATATATTGCCGGCTTGATTGTTTGGGTGGCCAGGTTCGTCTGGGTTCAGAGCAGACTCTGAGGATGTCTCGGGTGAGGCGCTGATTTCAGCACCCCAAGGGGCCCAGATTGCGAGGATGTCTCAGGCTCACTTATGTTTAAACTCACTCGTGCTCATATTCATTCATAATCAGACTCGTACTCATCATACTCATACTCAGACTCCCTCACATTCAGATTTACGCACATTTGACCTCACTCACACTTAGACCCGCCCACCCTCAGACTCATTCGTAGCCAGACTCACTCGTATTCTGACACGCTGAGGTTCAGACTCATACTCATCATACTCATACCCAGACTTACTCACATGCAGACATATTTACATTCAGAATCACTCACGCTCAGACCCACTCACCCTCGTATGCACTCGTAGTCATATTCACTCGTGTTCAGTTCCATTTAGACTCAGGCTCGTACTCATTATTTGCATACTCAGACCCACTCACGCCCAGACTTGCCCGCACTCAGACCCATTCTCACCCAGACTCACTCATATTCATATTGCTGAATTCTCAGACCTACTCGGACCCTGACCCGCTCAGGGCTAGGCTAACTGATAGTCGCACTCAACCGCATCCCTGTTCATTCACATCCAGACTCGTTCACACTCAGATCACTAATGCTCATATTCACCCAAATGCCTCCCTCGCTCTTCCACTGGTGCTTCCCCCATCTCTCCTGGAAGATGCTCAGGAAAGGAGGACGTCACTGAAGTCGTTGCTGTCGCCATCGTCGATGTCGCGCCCGTCGTCCACGCTGACTCGCTCCCACACCCGGGTGCTCACAGACAGGGTTCTTCAAACAGGCGTGAGATGAGGATTAGATGCGCAGATGACGTGCTCCACGCATTGGATTATTTATACGGCTCCGAGAGAACATTCCTTTTCCTCAACTCCTGTTCCCTTTCCTTCCTCACTCATACCAAGCCACAATCAAACTCACCAGTCACTCACATTCACTCATGCACAGACAGACTCATAATCCTTCATCGTCCGCCAGTCACACTCAGGTTCACTCGCACCCAGGCTCACTCGTACTCAGACTCATCCGCTCTCAGACTGACTCACACTCAGGCTCACTCATACCCAGATCCGCTCATATGCATATTCACTCGCATTCAGGCTCTCTCGAGCTCAAATTCCCCCACACTCAGACCCATTCGTTCTCAGACACGCATGCCCCGACTGATTCACATTCCTACGTCACTCACTCTCAGTCTCAGACGCGGTCTTATTCAGATCCATACGCATCACGTAAGGCTGTCTCATGCGAGGTGCTGGGCTCAGCACTCCAAAGGGGGAGCGCCAGGGGGTATCTCACGGACCCGCCTCGCCCACATCGCGGGGATGTTTCAGTAGATCCTGGTTGCGTGCTCAACATCCCCGTCTATTTGGAACAGTTGGTGGGGATGTCTCCGGCGAAGCGCTGGCTTCAGCACCCCTCCGGGGGGGGGGCGGGCGGGGCACCAACGGGGGT